AGAGAACTCCTTCCTTGTAGAAATCAAAGCAATGGGGAAGAGACAATCTTCTCTAACAGTGGTAAGAACGGTAAGCAGGTTTCAGTGAGAAAAGTATTCTAGATGTATGAAGCATGTAAATGCACAAGAGAGTGAACATGACAAGAAATAAAGGTGAAATCTTTGGCATTGTCAAGGGAATAGTTCTGAGACCTTCATAAATTCTCCTAATCCAATAAAACCACTATACCATAGAATTTCCTCCATAAAATGCAGTAAAATACAATTGTTTATACAGTACACAATCCTATAGGATTGTCTTAAATGCCTTTCCCATGCCTATTAACATGGGTACCACTAGGATAACCAACCTTCCCAGTTTAACCTAGAGTATATCAGTTTTAGCAAAGTCCCACATCCCAGAGAATCTCTCAGTCTCATGCAAACTGGGATGGTTGGTCACCCTTTATTATAATGTGGCATCACTCACTTAGCTACAATTAACTGGCCCTGGATGGACACCAGACTTAAACTTCAGTGACAAATCCTTCTCCCAGATGTATGGATATGGGATCATAGTGTGTATGGCAGGAACCTTACAGATTTTCTTTCAAGAGAAACCCTACTGTGAGCAGTGAAGTCAGACAATAGCCTCCAGGTATAGCACTTTTTGGATAGTTTTGTATCATTTGATCCAAGGCCATTCCCATCCTAGGCATCTCCAGGCAATTTCTGAGCACAAAAGGGATACTAGGGCCATTTATGCCCAATGTGGGATTCTTATAATTAGCAATTTTTGCTCTAGAGTTCCCAGTAGGGCTGGCTGGGACTTCCATAGAGTTGCACTGCAAGCTGAGGCATTTCCTACCCATTTCTCCTTAATTTCTTCTCCTTTAACAATGTGAGACTTGTACTGTGGTCTGAATTCTATCCCTGCCTACTCCTGCTCTTTCTCTTTATCTTCTTAATCATTACCCACAATAGATCTCTGGACTTGTAACTCCATCTTGGCATCTGCTTTTCAGAGGACCCAATGTGGCATAGTGTCTCTCTCCAGTGGTTGAAGCTGTAAGATGAAAATTTAGGAAGGTGTCAATAACCATACTTCCTATTGCATGGACTTGAGAAACAAAGGAAGCTTTTAAAGGAGGTTGGGGAGAGGAGAGAGAGAAAGAGAGATGGAGAAAGAGCAAGAGCAAGCACAAACGTACAGGGAGAATACAGATAAAAGAATGACAGAGCCATAATGGCATTTGAATACTTGGTTTTGACCATTCTTGAGGCCTAACTGTAACTTGCCCTTTCCAAATTTTGATTGTTCCACTCCTTAAATTTGGTGAGACACACCATTATCTTTCCACAAACTTCTCTCTTTCACTTAAATGAGTTTCAGGTAGGTTTTTGTCCCTTTCAATTAATGAAATACCTCTTCACTGCAAAAATTATTGTATAGGCTACTGAGTTTGTGCTGAGTCATATTTCTGTTTAGTCAGAAATGTTCATACCTTGTTCATATCTTCTGACACAAATTAATATACTTTTCAGTTTTTACCAAATTTTTGTCCATTAGTAGATGAGGAGAATTTTTCACAGCCTAGATGATTTTTGAGTTTTAGCATTTATTTATTTCTGTATATAGTATATAGAATTGTTGTCATAGACCAAAGCCTCAGCCAAATTCAACATTGCACTATGCCCAGAATATTTATTTTCTGAATAAAAGTCACTTTTAGTTACATAATAAAGGTTACTTTTAATATGAATCTTTTTTTTTCTTTTCTTAATTATTTTTAACCTTTTCAAGGATCACTAGTAGCTGGTTCTTTTAAGGGCCACTTTGATAAATCAAAATTCAAAATCGCAATATACAATTTGAATCACTTTTCAACAACTCTTTAGGTTATGAACAAATTTGGAGAGCATGAAAGCTTCATTAAGATGCTGATAAAACTAAGATATAGATGTTGGCCAAAGATGAGAGCTCCTACACATCAGTCTTATATAATAGTCCGTGCAAGAACAGTGCTAATTTGGTCTAGGGCAGGGCTGTCAACTTACAGTCCACAGGTCAAATTCTACCTCTTGCCTGTTTTTGTAAGTAAAGTTTAATGGAATACATTTACACTCATAATTTAAGTGTTGTCTGTGGCTGCTTTTGCTCAATGAAGATAGAATCAAGTAGTGAAAGACAGAGACTATATGTGTCCCACAAAGCCTAAAATATTTACTATCTAACCCTTCACAGAAAAAACTTGCCAACCCTCATCGCAGGTGGAGACAAATAGATGAGCAGATTATATTTTTGGAAGCAGAGCAGGAACAAGCTTGGTGTATTCTGGGAACATAAGGAAGGCCGGTGTGGCTAAAACATAAAAAGACCCAGATACTACCGTTTGTTTTTTTTTTTTAGCATATTTGTACCTATTGATTGTTATTCAGACATTAATTAACTCATTCAACAAATGTTCTTTAAGTTCCCACTCTGTGCTAGACAGTGTTAGCTACTTCACACACACAAGCACATACAAATTGTAATAAGGGAAATCAACAAACAATTGTAACAGGATAGTAAGTGCTAACTACAAATGCAATTGATGCCGAGTGGAGGAAATTAACTTTTGTTTCACCACCCATTCAATATTTATCTGATTTTCCATGGTACCTTCCTCCAATTGTACCTGAACCACATCCTATCTGGTTGGTCATACCTCCCTTCCTTTAGTTACTAAAATGCATCATTATGATATTAATAATCATAGTCATAGCAGCCAATACCCATTGAGCATTTACTGTGTGTCAGACATGGCTAGGTACTTTATGCACATTGTCTCATTTAATCATCACAACCCTATAATATAGATATTATTATTATGCCCATTTGTGGGCATAATAATTGAGGGTCAGAGAGGTAAAGTCCTTTGCCCAAAGTCTCATGTGTGTCTCACAAAGTAGCACTTAGGACATTTATTTTCTTCCTCATCTACTCTGGCTTGCTGCTGATGCCTAATGTTATGATCATCGCTGCTTGATGGTATCACCTACCAAAGGCACCACTATCACTGCCAATACCAACCCAAGTCTTCCGTCTAGAGCATTCCAGTTTGACTCCAGGGCATTGTCTCTTGAAGCTCTTAGTGTTGTTTTTCATAGACACCACATATCCGGGAACAAAGAACATATTTTGTGAAAGAGTTCTTTGTAGTTTTTACTTGTGCTTTCATTATAGTTCCTGTCTTCAGATTTGGAGCCAGATTACCTAGGTTTGAATCTCAGCTCTGAAACTTAACTGCTCTGTGACCTTGGTAAAATTGCTTAACTTATCTGTGCCCCAATTTCCTTACCCTTAAAGTAGGGATAATAATATTAACTACCTTAAGTGTTTGTTATAGAATACTTACCCCAGCATTTGGCATATAACGCAGGTTTAATAAATGTTAGTTATTATTACTAAGGCAACTGGCTTCTTTTTCCAACCCTTAACAGGCTTTATCTATCAACCTCTTGCCTCTTTCTGGATACTTTCTATCTGTTGATTTCATTTTACCTTTATTGACCTTATTCACTCTTATTGCTACTATCATGCTCCTTCCTATTATAGGACCTTTGATCATGTTCCTTCTGTCTGGAATGTTCCTTTTCCTGTGTGCCTGGCCAATTACTCTAAGTTCTTTAAGTTCCTTAAGGGCATGGACTGTATCTGCTTTTTGTTTACCATTTTATACCCAGAGTTTAATACAGCACCTGATGTACAGTAGGCATTCATTAATATTTGCATGAATACCAGCCTGAGTCTAGAATCTCACCTTATTCAGTTATTCCTCTGTATATTAATTCACATCCTAGCTATAGCCTTTTTTCTGTCTAATCACTGGTTCTAGACAATTTTCAACAAATATTCACTAAATACATACTATATGTTAGGGTCTGTGCTAGGGTCTTGGAAAATAAATTTGAAAAATGCAAATTTTTTTCTGGTCTCAAAAGACCACTTGTTCATTGAAGGACATAGGCACGCAAAGGGAGAAGTTATAATCCAGAATGATAATTGCTACACTGGGGGCCTGTACTGGATCCATTGGGCATACTGAACCCATGGAAAAGAATAGAAATTTATCTTGGAAAACAGAGAATGATTCACAGAGCAGGTACTATCTAAAGTGAGTCAAAATAATGAGTAGCAGTTTTGCAAAAGAACAAGTAGGGGTAGAGCATATGACAGAAAGAATTCCAGGGCAAAAGTATGAAGGCATTTGCTTGTTTTGTTGATCCTGACTTCTACAGACCGTTTCCTCTATCATCACCGTCTGACATTAGGCCAATTATTTTTCATCTCTAATAACTGCAATACTGCTGTTTCCCATTTTTCAATGTCTGTACATTTGTTTGTTCTTCCTCTAGATTTTTTTTCCCTCTAGCCTGGATTTCCGTTGTACTTTTTGGTCCTTTTTGTAATATGTGTTGTTCTTGAATTTTTACATGCATAGGATGAGCATTCCTAATGACTCGTTCCCTTCTAGTAATGTTCACTGTTTTCAGCACTGTACGTGGACTCTGGATTCAAATAGCTCAAATGAATTGGGGGGGAGTCCAGCAGTGAGTACTATGTGACTTAAGTTCAAGAAAGTGGTGCAAGGAAGTGGAAGAATTTTTGTTCCAGAAAACCTCAATAAGCACTTATAATTAGGTTTGTTTAGAAAACCTCAATAAGCAACCTCGTAAGGGAGAAGACTCCGGAGGAGCACTGAAAAGGCAAACAAGGAGACCCAGGTGTCACACGCAGTGTATTTGTATGGGTCCGTCTATTTTCCTCTCTGTGCCTGTCGCTCCAAATCTGTTAAACGAAGGAAATGGACTGGAGCACCCCATCGCGACCCTTCTGAATCAGAGGTTCTAGCACGCCCCCGCAGCGGCCTCGGTCCAGGGCGCACAAGGCGCCCACCGCACAGGGCCGGAAGAAGTGGGGCGGGGCCTCTAGGCTGCTGGGCCCGAACGGACTGGGGGAGGGGAGCCCGGGACCGATAGTCTCTGGGAAAAAGCAAAAGGCGGACGCGAGGCTGCCTCCCAAGGCTCTCTTTGCTTACAGTTCCTCTCGTTTTGCTGAGTTGGGAGTCGCGACCTCCAGCACAGGTGGGTCCAGTCCCATGGATCGGGAAGGGGGGCCTTTGGTGGGTGCGGTGGTTGGGTTTGCCCAGACGTTCGCTTTAAGGCCTGGCGCGGGGGCGAGGGGGACGGCTCCCAGCGCGTCTGCTCAGCCCCAGGGCGGTGGTACTTACCCTAACCCCTGTAGAGGAGAAGGCCACTCGTGCCTTGCCGCAGGGCTGTCGTCACGCTTTATGCCAGTTGCGCGACGAAGTCGGCCTGGAGATCAGTGCAGGGCCAGATGGGCCTATAGCGCTCGGGAAGAGCCGGAGGAGCTGGAGCAAGCTCGCGTTGGGACTGACGCCCAGCGTACATTGTTTCAAACTCGATCGGGCTTCCCCGCCCTGGGTCCGTCACTGATTTGGTATCCAGCTTTTCAGAGAGTGCCTAACCTGTTCAAGCTACACTGCTTGGCGGTGGAGTGGAAGGTGGAACTCGGCTGTCCGCAAGACCTGCAGCACTGTCTTTCGTTGTAATATCCACTAGTGTTCTCTGCCCAGATTTTACCCTTTGTCTGCCCCTCCTGAGCAAGAATGCCTAGCAAGAGTCGGGAGTAACCGGGCAGGGCATTGGAAAAGTTAGTCGAGGAAGTGCTCTCCATTACTAAAACAACTCTGAAAAACCTTTTAAACATTTTTAACTACTAACTGACCTGAAAGCTAGAAAAAAACGTTCATTCAGTGCCTTAGTTGAATGTCAGCTCTGAAGAATGCTTTTGTGAATGCTTTACTGTTAAAGATTTTAACCAGACGATTGACCAAAACATTATGTGTTGAATGAACATAGTACACTGCCCAGCAAAAGTCTCATCATAAAAGACTTGGGTAATTTAACTGTTAACCAATCGCTGAAAGAAAAACTTCAGCTTTCATATGTAGGAACACTTGCATAATCCATTCCCAATAACACTTTTAAACAGAGTTTCTTCTTAGCTGGTATTGCCCTTTCAGGAAGCACTATAGTAAAAATTACATACAGTTTATTTTACACTAACTATAAAGACAAGGAATTATCCACACTATGGACCAACATCGTGTCATTCCAATTCCACCTCATTATGGAACTGCTTACAGTAATAATGGCAACCCTATATAATGCACTGTAATCTTCACAACCATGAGAGGTGAATGTGTTTGTCATCAGACTTAAAGGGATTATACTCTACCTGGTAACTAGTATGATGAAGGGAATCTTTGAGGGGTTCGTTGAGTCCAGGGGGCTTCCTTTGCATGCCCCATGTCATTCTTACTTCTGGGAAATCTGCACTGGGACAGATCACTTCCTGGTTTTGGTATCTGTACCAGAAACCGCAAGCAGTTCTGTATCTCTGCTTGTCAGCCTTGGGAGAAGCAATAAAATAGCCAAACTAACACCTGGTGTCTGTACAGTGTTTCTGGCAGTTGTATTTTTTGCCTGCCAGGATGAGGGTGGGGGGAGGGCTGGATTAATAAACCTCTTTGGTATGAAGAGTCTCTTTGTGACTGAAGCCAAAGTGAACATAGATCCACCAGTTGGGTGCCCATTGTGACCCTGTTTCTACAACACCAGACGTCCTCTGTGCTCACATGGGCTGTACAATCTGCCACTCTGCCCTCATGTAAAGAATCTACAGGATAAGAGGCTCTTGGCAAAACCCGGTCTGTGCCACACCTGCAGGTTCTAGGCAAAGACTGCCTGATAGGAAGGTGGATGTTCTTCTGGGCATGGGACCTGGTGATTTCCCAAACGGTTGATAAAGTGAGAGGGAAATTGTGATAGACTTCTGCTGAGCCGACCTTGAGGGTGAGTTTAGGACTGGCTGTTTGGCAGGCACCGGTGAATGCTTTGTTTGGCTGTATTTCTACTCTATTCATTTATTCTTTCACTCCAAAGACAATCAATGAATGCTTACTCTGTGCCAGCATGCTGATCCACTCACTGAGATTAGCAGCAAAGGAAGACAGTAAGTTTGGGAGGAGAACAGGAATTCCACTTTAAGCATGCTAAGTCGGAGCCATCTTCTCTCTTCCGGATTCCCAATATAGAATCAACTCAAAATCTTGCCACTTCTGCTTCCTGAATATTTTTAAACCTATCCACTTCTCTTTGCCCCCATTGCTACTCCAAATTTTGAGCCAGCAGCATTGTTTTTTATTCATTTATTTAAAATTTTTTATTTATCATTGAAGTGTAATTGATATACAATGTTATGTTCGTTTCAAGCGTACAACATATTGATTCGACAATTCTATACTTCACTCAGTACTCGGCAAGATAAGTGGAGTCACCATCTGTCAACACACAATGGTATTAAAATAGTATTGACTATATTCCCTATGCTGCACTTTTCAGCTCCGTGGCTTACTTATTTAGTCACTTAAAAAACTTTTTTATTTTAAAAGATCCAAATCATTGCTTGACCCTCAGCCCTCATGGGAAAACCAACACTCCTATCATCACCACAGCAACAACAACAACATACAACAGCCCAATGAGCTCTCTATGATCCTTGATAGGTTGTGAAAAGGATGCACTTTCTCTTTTTTTTTCTTTTCTTTTCTCTACTGCCCAGAATGTCTTTAAAATTTCTTGTATTGAGACAACATGGATGGACCTAGAGCGTATGGTGTTAAGTGAAATAAGTCTGACAGAGAAAAACAAGGACCATATAATTTCACTTATATGTGGAATCTAAAAAAAAAAAAAACAAAACAGACAAACACAAAAACAAACAGACTGTTAAATGCAGAACAAACTGGTGGTCGCCAGAGGGAAGGTGGGGGGGATGGGCAAAATAGGAAAACAAAATTGTATTAAGGTATAATTTACATACCGGAAAATTGACCCATTTTAAGTGTAAACTTCAAGGATTTTTAGTAAATTTATTGAGGTCATAAACATCACTGTAATCCAATTTTTGACATTTCCATCACCTCAATAACATCTCCCTTGCCCATTTGCAGTTAATCCTTATTACTGCCCCTAGCATTGGGCAATGTAATCCTTTTATGTGTCCATGGATTTGCCTATTCTTGGACATTTCACATAAATGGAATCATACAGTGTGTGGTCTTTTGCAACTTGCTTCTTAGCATGATGTTTTCAAGGTTCATTTATATTGTAGTATGAATCAGTACTTTACTTTTGATGGCTGGATAATGTGCTACTGTATGTATATACTACATTTTATTTATTCATTTGTCAGTTTATATACATTTGGTTTATTCCCACCTTTTGGCAGTTGTGAGGAAGGCTGCTCTGGGCATTCAGGCACAAGTTTCGGACATGTTTTCAGTTCTCTTAAGTATATATCTAGGAATGGAATTGCTGTTCCATCTACTTTGAAAATCTGTTGTTTAGTGTAGCCACCTTTGTTAATTCTCTGAGCTCGATCTTCTGGATACCTTGCTGCAGCTTCTGCATCAGCCCTAGCTGCTTCACCTTGCACTTGGATGTCATGGAAATGGCTTCTTTCCTTCAACCTCATGAACCAAGCTCTACTAGCTTCACACTTTTCTTCTGCAGCCTTCTCACCTCCCTCAGCCTTTACAGAACTGAAGAGCATTAGGGCCTAGCTCTGGGTTAGGCTTTGGCTTAAGGGAATGTTGTGCCTGGTTTGATCATCTTTCAAGATGACTGCAACTTTCTCTATATCAGCAATAAGGCTGTTTTGCTTTCTTATCATTTGTGTGTTCACTGGAGTGGCACTTGCAATGTCCTTTGAGAACTTTGCCTTCACAACTTGGTATCTGTTTGGCACAAGAGGCCTAACTTTCTGCCTATCTCAGCTTTCAACATGCCTTCCTCACTAAGCTCGATCATTTCTAGTTCTTGATTTAAAGTGAGAGACATGCAACTCTTCCTTTCACTTGAGCACTTAGAAGCCATTGTAGGGTTATTAATAAGCCTAATTTCAGTATTGTTATGTCTCAGGGAATAGGGAGGCCCAAGGTGAGAGAGAGAGATGGGGGAATGGTTGGTCGGTGGAGCAGTCAGAACACATTTATTGCATTCACTGTCTTCTGTGCATGCAGTTCATGGTGTCCCAAAACAATTACAGTAGTAACATCAAAGATCATTGATCACAGATCACGTAAAAAATATAATAATAATGAAAAAGTTTGAACTATTGTGAGTGACACAGACACATGAAGTGAACAAATGCTGTTGGAAAAATGGCACTGATAGACTTGCTTAATGCAGGGTTTGCCACAAACCTTCAATTTGTTTTTAAAAAAATGCAATATCTTTGAAGCACAATAAAGAGAAGTGCAATAAAATGCCTATGCCTGTATTGGTGGGTTTGGTTTGCTAACATTTTGTTCAGGAATTTTTCATCTGTATTCATTCGAGACATTGCATGGTAGTGCAGTTTCTTCCCTTAAGATGTATTTGTCTTGTTTGATGTAAGATACCAGTCTCATAGAATGAGTTGAGAAGAGTTTCTTTTGTTAGATGTGTATTTTACACGTTTCTGCTTATTATGTCTTTCTGATGAATTGACCCTTCTTCCATCATTATGAAATATCCTTCTTTTTCTTTTTTTTTTTAATCAAAAATTTGCCTATAATTTAAGCCATAGAGTAAGTACAGTATGATTAGGTTTATATAATGATTGTAAAGGTAATTCACCAAGTACATAGCATATATAAGAGTAGTAATTCTCTTTCCTGGTCTCTTCTCTGTATCC